ACTTAAATTAGACAATGACTAAAGTTGTATATGTGGCTTGTTGTACACTCATCATGTAACTGTAAAACCTTAGGAAATTATCCATGTGATAGTTTTGTAATAACAAACTAATAAAATCTAATCGGCAAAAGAAGCCACCTTAAAAAAAAAAAAAAAAAAAAAAAATTTAATAAAATTTTTTTAAATTAGTTAAATTAATTTGAAAAATCAAAATAAAAAAGATTTTATCAAATTTCATTAGATAGTTGTTAAGATATCTTTGCTTAAAGTTGGAACAAAACTCAAAACCTTAAATTGTAATTTTTTTTATAAAAAAAAACTTTAAACAAAGGTATCTCAATAACTACTTAATGAAGTTCAATGTAAATTTTTTTATTTATTTTTTGTAATTATATAATGTTTTTTAAAAAAAGTTTATCAAATTTTATTAGGTAGTTTATTGAGATATCTTTATTCAAATTTTTTTTAAAAAATTTTTATGGCTCTTAAATTATATACTAACTTTGAGTAAAAATATCTCAACTATTTAATAAAATTTAATAATTTTTTTTTAAAAAAAAATTAATGTTACAAATTTAAAGAATTCAAATAAAAAAAGTTTTATCAAATTTTATTAGGTAGTTGTTAAGATAGCTTTGTTCAAAGTTTTTTATAAATCTTTTATTAATATATTTTTTGAATTATATATAAACTTTGAGAGAAGATATCTTAAAAATCACCTAATGAAATTTGATGAAAATTTTTTTATTTTAATTCTTCAAATCCATATAACTAGGTTTAAAAAAATTTTATCAAATTTATTGAGTAGTTGTCAAAATATCTTCACTTGTTTTTTTATTTTTTTTTAAACTTAATTGATATATATAATATTACATAGAACTGATATAAAAAGAATGCTGAAAATTCTAGAATCATATTAGATATTCAATTTCTATGTATATTATACAAAAAAAATTTATTACTGATTTTATATGTAAAATAATCTACATACACTCTACTCTTAAAGATCTGCAAAATAAGTATTATACAAAGATTGTAAACAACTTCGGTATAATACTCATTTTGCAATACAGATTCTTAAGATAACAGCTTTAAATATGAATATTTCACTAAAGACAAGTCTAATTTTGATGATTTTACTATAATTAGAATCAGAAAAGAGAGTTCTACAATTTTATTTAAGAGTATAAAAACCTTTACTTAATAAAAATTTCTTTATTTTTTAAAAAAAGATTTTAACTAATTATATTATATAAAATACAGAGTCAGTTTTTTAACTTAAAGAACATAGTAAAGATCTTCTTCAAGTTATATTTTTAATACTCTGCAAAAATTTATGAAAAAGAAATATTAAATGCTAAAAAATATAAATCCCACTTTAAAAAAAAACTTTCTTTTTATTTTTTAAATAAATCAAGATTAAATAACAGATAAATTTTTTTTTATAAATTTGCATATAAAATTGATCATATCAAAATTTATATGAATCTAATAAAAACTCATTTTTCGAAAAATGTAAAAATGGGCCCTTTTAAAAGGGAACACTCCATATGATGCAGACGGCCCTTCGGGCCATCTGTATCCTATGATCATCGGGAATCTCTACAGTAATTTTTAAACTCCCAGAAAATAAATAATACTTATTCCTGTATAATCAATCATTACATTCATTAAAAAATAATAAATACTGTAATTTGCGATCCTTGGGAAGACTTGTTTTAATAAATGTTAAATAATTTTTTTTTTTCTAATATATTATCATGTCTCAATCTGATTCTTTTCCTGCAATATCTAATCAAACTCAAAATCTCGAACAATTTCATTCAAAACTAAAACTTCAATCCCTTGAGATCATTAACCAAATTTTTCCTCGTAAAATTTTAGAATTAAATAATTTATTGCAAAACCAATCAGATGGTTCCATAAATAATCCCAAACCTTCTTTGGTTCAAAATGATAATAATGATAATATAAAATCATCTCGTAAACGACGCAGAAATGAGATCAATAACGATCCCACTCAAACTGGTGAAATCATAAAAGACGCTGAAAGTGTCTCGTGCGAGGCTATTTCTATGGCAAATAATGATAATATTGATAATATTGATAATATGGCGTGTTTGAATAATGGAAAAGATTATTTTCGTATAAAGGAGTTGCATAAAATTCTTGAATATGAAGTAGCTTGTTTCGCTGGATATTGTTGTAAATTGAGGGCTTGGGTTACGATTAAATATCCAAGGTTTATTTAATATTAAATAATTGTTAATTTATCTTGTGAAAAAATTAATGTAATATTTTTAATCGGATTATGTGTAGAATTGGTACTGAAGAAAACCCAAAAGTTTCTGCACAAGAAGGTACGCATATCCTATTTACATATTATAACCTTTAAAATTAAAATTCCTTTATTTAGTATCTTTTGTTACAATATTCAGACATAACAGCCGAATTATCGCGAGTTGAAAACAGTTCGTTTTTATTCTTAGATAGTATTACAAGATATTACATCGCTCGCGCCAAATTATGCAAGTAAGTATTATCAGGTCGTTGTTATCAACATAATATTAATTATTAATATCTAATATGTTCTTTAAACCCTTCGTTAATGTCAATCTATTCTTTAATGGAAAGGACATATTACAAGCTTCCAACAATTCAAGACAGCTATCATGCACTTAACCACCTCGATAAGCAACATTTGATTAGTATTCTTCATCATCTTGAGGACATGTGCAACATTTATGTTATTATTTATGATATGTTACAAAAAAATATGGTTTATCTAAATTGAAAAATTTTCAACTATTTGCATAATGCTTAAAACTTCAAATTGTGCTACCTGATCATAAGTTATAATTTCACTTATTTAAGGCTCGTATTTATTTGCGTAAGGTTAAGAACAGGTATTATTGTCTAGCTAATATTTTTTATTAGTTCTCAATTTTTGTACATAACTTTATGTTGTGCCTCAGATTAAAACCATTAGGCCAACATTAAAACAATCTAAATAATCGGGCTTCTAAATCCTAATACTTCTAACTCTAATTTGAGCCGGTTTTAATCTGAAGTTTCAATCTGAGGCACGACTAAGGATGCCTCTCGAAAGTCGATACTTTCGACAATCTCGATATCGAAAGTATCTCGAAAGTACTTTCGACAAAAA